AGGAGTTTGACGGATGTGAATGTTCGCCGGGACCAAACCCAAACACCCCCACAAAACCAAAACTCACCAACTCCCTCCTCCCAACAACAGCCCCAAACCTCAAACTCAAAAACAGACTATAACACGGCACACTCAGGAACGCCCACCACAAACTCGGGGTGCGCTGCCACCACCCGCCTTCGGGATCATGGCTCGCAGAACACATATAATCTCTGCCCCCCAACAGGGGTTTGCTGAGCATTGTTTGATAGAGCTCAGCTCCGATGGCGAGCCCAAAGCCAAGGAACAGGCTGTACACAAGGGCGTAGCAGAGACGCACGGAGCCTGCTACCAGGGAGCGGGAGGAGAGTTCGAGGGAGCCGTTTAAAACTATGAAGCCCTGGGGGTTCGTTAGCGGTGGGATGCGATCCAAAGAGGAAGGATGAAAAGGAAGGAAGCGAGGTAAGGAAAAGGAAATCAAAGAAGTCAGGACTCACAGGCAAAATCAAGACCACGCTACTACTAGCAACAGCCTCATAACAAATCCTCTTCGTACTAGCGAGCGCAGCGCTCACAAAGCTCAGAAGCGTAGCAACCGTTATCTCAAACACGTTCCCATACAACTCATTACGGACGCTGAGGAGCTGGATGGCGACAAGGAGCGCACCGAGCGGGAAGGAAACGAGGGAATCGACGAAGCTGCCGTTGAAGCTGACGCTGCAGATGCTGGTGCTGCACATACCGCCTAGGAATATGAGTTGAGGGAAGGAGTAGGTGGGCTTTTTGCGCATTAGGGTATCAAGGGCGGTGCTGGCTGAGGATACGGACATGGTGTCGTGGATGACCTATGCGTTTGTAGTGAGATTAGTTCATTTATCATTCGAATGGAAAAGAGACACATACATCCCAATACAACCCATGTGCCTCCCCTAGCTTCCCCACATCCAACGCACTCCCCTGCCTGATAAACTTGACGTTACTCGTCCCCGTCGCACTGTCTTCGAAGCTGATCCACATGACATCAGGGAGGTACATACAGCTCATCTCAAGCTCGAGGACACGCGCTGTGCTTTGGATCTGCGCGACGAGTCTGTGCGAGGGTCCCCCGAACATCATCATTGCACGGGCTAGTTTGAGGATGAATTCTTGCCGTTGGAGGATGGCGGCGACGTGTCGGGTTATCTGTGTAGTGAGAGTGAGTCAGGTGTGGTAGAGAAGTGAATGAAGGAAAGGAAGAGAAGGAGAAAAGAAACGCACATAAACTTCCGCCCTTTTCCTCTTCCGCCTCTTCTCCTTCTCCCTCCTCTCTCTCTCTCTTCTCTCCTTTCTATCCCTCTCTTTCTGCTCCTCGATCCACTTTGTACCGAAATAATCATCATCTTTTCCCTTTTCATCAGGCGAACCAGCAACACTACTCGCCCTCGTCCCAGTCCCAGGGGTAGACGCCCCACTCGTACTGACAGGATACCTTAAAGGCGTCCCGGGTATACTCAGCGAAAACCCCTTTAAGTGCGCAGTAGGCAAGTGGTGTGGAAGCGGGATATCCTTCAGGACTCCTTTCCAGCGTTTCGATTTTGGTTTCTTGGTGGAGGTTGAGGTAGGGGGGAGGGTTGGTGGAGTTGATTCGGAGGGGGTGGAAGTAGGAGTCGACGTAGAAGTAGTCTCGGTCGGAGGAGGAGCGAGCGTATCTGGTGAACCTTCCTCCTCCTCGACATCTATCACTTCTTCCTCGAGGTCTATTGTGGACTCATCTTGAGATTGGATAGCAGCTTTAGAAGCAACTTCCCCCTCACCCTCGTGGTCCTCCTCGACGCGCCCACCGATCCCCCTCGTAAAATCGGTATCGGTGCTCTTCGAACGACGAGGGAGATGGAGGCTGAGACGGGGAGGTGTTGATATTCGTTGTCTTTCCCCTACCTCTGCATTCCCTTCCCTAGCCCCCTCACCCTCGATTCCATCCTCGACCCGATACCTAACAAGCCCATACCCCCTCTTCATCTTCAAATCAGGCGCTAACTCCAACTGCATAGGCGCAGCAGCGCCGCTCAACGTCCCCGCACCCGCAATGAGCGCAGCCATACTCGAACTCGAGGGGCCTGGCTTGAGGGAGGAAAAAAGGGAGGCGGTGCTGCTTGAGGCGGAGTGGAGTGTTTGGTTTAAAGTCTTGTAGGGCGATTGTTTGTGTTTAGACTTGGGGTGGGAGGAGTGAGGGAGCCATGGACGATCGGGATTAGAGAGGTCTGATTCGTCTTCGCTATGTGAGGGATCGTGCTCGTCGTGTTCGTTGCTGTAGAGTGCCAACAACGCACTCAGCACGCCAGAGCCTAGTTTCGGCTGGGAAGCATCTGCCGGAGGATGAGATTCAGGATCATAAGGACCGCGTGATTGTGCGTAAGGTGGGGGGTGGTGAGGGGTAGGAGCAACTGAGGGGGGAGTGTGGAAATGCCACCATGACTTCTTGGGTGGTTGTTCCGGAGTGGGGTGATGTTTCTCCTCTTTGACTTCGTCGTTTGTATCACGATTTTCTTTTTCAGAGTCTTGTTCTACAACTGGGACTCGTGATCGTGATTTCGAGCGGTGACGACGACCGAGGATATCCCATCTTTTGGTATGCGCTCTGACAACGCCTGCTGCTTCGCGCGCGGCGAGGTGTTCGATACGGCCGTCTGCCGGGATTTCAGAGTCTCCGCTTCGTTGCCTTGAAGAGAGGGGGAGACCAGCGCTTTCTAGGGGGTCGATGAAGACTTCGCCTGGGAGGGCGTGTGTGCGGCGTGGGAGAAACGGTTCAGAAGAGGTAGGGGATGCAGGCAGGGTTGAAGGTGTGCTTGGGGGATAGGTATGTACGTCTGCCGTAGGGGACATGCCATGAGCGGATGGGGAATGCGTACGAGAGGAACGGTGGCGCTCAAGTGCGTCTTTGAGTGTTTCGAACGCGTTCGGCTAGGCGAATGTAAGCGAGGTTGAAAATAAATTAAGAGGGGACTACTCACGTCCTGAGCCATCTCGTCTAGTGTGTGTGGATCGACTGGTTCCGGTTCGTGGATGTGATCTGCGCTTGCCCATTGCACGCGACGAGGAGTACGCGCACCAGGGATTGGTGACATGATGCTAACCGGCATCGTGTGAGGCGACGGTGAAGACATGGAAGAAGATACGCACCCGTTGATGATGATTATTTAGTTATTATTCAAATGAGACTCCACAGAATTGCAAAATGATCCGTTTCACCCTTGTACGAGTCGGTTACGGTCACCGTCGTCGTTGTCGACGTCGTCACCTAAGGGAAATACTTCAGTTTTCATGGTTGATCTACTGGACTAAGTACTTGAGGAAGAGGTAGACGTAACGTAAGTGACCGAACTTCTCTCACATGATGTCATTCATGCTCCACCTCTAATTTAATTGGAACCCTGATACTGTAAAGCACATCCGAGAAGTCGACCATATACGTCAGCAACTGTGCACACGGTGCCCGCTCGATCAATCACCTAAATGGGTGTCAGTCACTAATGTTAGCGACCTATCCGTCTCCCCAAAAGGTATTGAATATACGACTCACCGTTATCATGACCTCACATGCACATCCTGAAAATGAAGCTCCAACTTCAGCTGCACCCCTGCCCACAGACAAATCGCAAGCTTATCACGCCCACATACTAGGTAATCACTTCGTCGCAAAGATCCTGACAGAAGTAAACAAGACGAAAGACGAAAGGCTAAAATCTGTAGTGAGGAATAGTAGTTCTTTAAACGTAGGCGTGTAATCTGAGATTCACGTGTTCGCATCCGTTATAATAAAATTCATTACTTCATGTTTATGTATACATAGTAGCTTCAGTTTCCCGAGTTCGGGTACTGTAAGGTTCACATGATAAGTGCATGGGGCGAGAAAGTAAAGCACTTACCCACAAAAAGTAACCTCTCCCACAATTGAGAGCAATGGCGCGATATTGCTAATATAAATGTTGCTCAGCGATGGATGCGTCAAAGTCCACCACTGGCACCTGGAAAGATGCAACTATTGCCAAGAGACAATCAACTTGTGGTTTTTCTGGCAGCGCCACCAGAGTCAATTTCCGCAACATAGGAAAATGAAGTACAAACATGTCGATAGACTCTTGCCGAAGGCCACCCGGCAAGGAAGGGAGGGAGAGGGTCATCGATTCAAGCATCACCAAATCACTTATAGGGGCAGGAGCACGAAAATGAACTATAATTTCATCAACCACGAGGGTCTCCAGATGAAGGGAAGCGGGTTATAGTGGAGCATATATTGAACAAGCGCGGAAGCGTCCGGCAGATGAATACGATGTAGATCTTGGCAAGTAAGGCTGTATGGACTGGCAGGGGCGGACTTTCTTATTGGGACGGTTGAATAAAAGCAACCATTGATGTATAGGCGGGAAAGCTGTGATGCATTAGAGTTTCCTGAGACTCGACTGAGTCGACTCATTGCATTCATGGCCAAAGAGGCGTGTTGAACCAAGCGTGATTCCTGGATGACATAATCGCCGTTTCCCAGGGTTCACCAGAACCAGCGAAGGAATAAATGAAGGCACTCTCGAGTCAGTGACCCTGTAAGCCAAATAATGTTTCTGAATGTGCACTAACCATCTGTGCACCATCTTGCTAATGTGTCCTTCGACCATCTCCCCGATCCAGATCGCATTCTCTATGCAGCTCTCGCGCCCTGCCTAGTGGAAACTTTAGGGTCCTCAAGTCTGCGCGTCGAACACGGGAAGATCATATATGGGCGCAAATCAATATCCTACGTCAGGAGAAGCAGACCCCAGCACGCATTGGAGCTTGTCAGCATCATTGCAGATTCGAAGTACAAGCTGCATGACGATTTCGATTTCGATGAGCAAAAGCTTGGGAGTACCTTGACGCCGTACACCGAGCGACGATAGCTGGATTGGAAGGGGATGGATCACAGAAAATGCAATAAAATAGCGAATCGATCCTATATAAACTCGACACCTATGTGAACAAGTACAACGATCCCGCTGCTCAGTGGAATATTATTGCCTTGCAACCTCTTCACAGCCTTCTGCAACGCCATCCATCGCGGCGCGTGTGCAACCCAATCTGCCTGGATCATCCACCATGTTCTCATAGAAAGCAGACACAACCTCCTGTACAATCTTATCATCGACAGACCACATAGAACCAATCACACTGCGAAAGCCAGAGAATTGCATCGCTACAGCAAGATGGATTGACTCATCAGGACTCTCCTCATCGCCCACAGTAGTGTGGCAAGCTGACAAGAATGCAAACTGTGGGTTCTGCCAGTTGGATCGGATGATGTCCTTGATCATCAACGGTCCATCACGCATTGCGAAGGAAGATTCAAATGGTTGTTGTCGATTCGGCATTCCGTGGCAGGCCAGGTGAAGCCACTGTTTATGGTTCAGCGCATCAAAAGCACCCTTGACCGTTGCGTTGCCGAGTGACATGGCGACGAGCGTGAGACGCCGGGTGACAATGGCTAGCTCGGGAGCTACACATTCAAGAGGCTTCCCTACGTCCGAGTTTCCTTGACCAATGGCAACAAAACGTTGCGGGGAGGCATCTCGAGAATCCTGTTTTCTTGCACGAACAAGTGTCGCCAAAGTAGGAGTATACGAGGAAATGTAGATGTGAGACAAACTGTCTCTCTTCTTCTCGTAAGCTCCTGCTGCATGTAGAGGAAGCAGCGTGAACTCAGCAGTGGGACACCACCAGATACGCGAGCCAGGGTGAACATTTGACACCCTAAGGGCTTGTACTATGGGGCCAGCAATGTTGTGCCAAAGTTTACGAAGGATGCTGACAAGCTTGAGTTGAGTATCGAAAGAACCAAATTCTTCTGCAAGAGACTGAAACTCGGAGGACAAACCAGAAACTTCGGCCTGCGTGACATCAATTGGAATGTGGACAGGATCTTGGTCACTGAGGACACATTGCACTTGATACAAGACTTCGAGTGGATGACTCCAAGTAATCCCCCGAGTTCCAGTCCCTCGCCGAGATGCATATGGTTCAATCTAGGCCTTTTAATGATGATCAACTTGAATTACTGGCGTCCAACGCACTGTTTGCGATGATATAGTTGGTCGACCATCTTCATTTAGCTTCAGCGAACGTACCATCGAACCAAGAATGTCATTATGATGTAACTGCAGGAAAGACAGCACCAGTGACCTGTTTACGACAGTAGGTCGGCACCTACAGTTGGATCGCTGGAATCATCACCTCGGCTAGGTGTTAAACGAGCGACCTTGTCAGGTCGCTCATCATCGGTCACCACTGCCCGCACGGACGAAACGGGTACATCGGTACGTTTCCTTTTCCTTTCTGACTTCGCCTTCTCCCTCGTCGTCAGCTTACCGAACTCATCTTGTAAATGTGCCTTCAGCTTAGGCATGCTCTCCAGGGCACGATCGCACTGCCAGCAACAAAGGTCGCCGTCCTTTAATAGCAACTGATACTGGCTGGCATCGAGCTTAATCATCTGCAAGATTCTATCATTAATGCGGAACGAGGTGTCCTTTGCTGCGCAACGTACTCTTTGATAATACGAAGGCACGGCATCGAACCACGAAAGAACATCTTTCAAATGCAGAAAGAATCCCAAGCTAGGATCAAACGAGTTATAGTGCTTCTTCGTCTTCATCTTCGGAGAATACAAGTCTGCAGAAAGCACATGCAAATGGAGGTGTCTGAAACGATGCCATAATGATTGGAATGAACTCAATGGAACAATAACATACGATAGACAAACGCTTACTCCATGCTCGAAATCGGGTGAAACCCCATCCAAATTTCCCACTTGAACTTGTACAACTTCATCATCTCTTCCTCGATCATCTTCTTCACGTTATTCGCTTCTTCGTTTAAGTTCATAAGCACCTCCTTTGCGGTACTTTTCTCGCATCGAAGCAAAGAACGCAAGTCTGTGAGATGGCGTGCGCTCAATGGCGGCTGGATCCGGGGTATGACCAGAAAGTGAAAGATGGATTTGGGGAACGCATCAAAGACCGTCAGACATGTTTCTGAGTGAGAGAGTAGAATTGACGGTGGTAGAGTGATTGGATTAGGTTTGGATGCATAACTGCGGAAGATGGCGAGATTGGGGGCGGAAGGTGCCGTCGTCATGTGTGCAGCCTATCCGGACAGTTGGACGTGGTACCACTGGACTGTAGTACAACTCCACCTTGCCGCAACGAGGATGGGCGGCGGTACTACTTATCGGGCCCATCGTAGAAACGTATTACATGTAAGTACTAACCTTAAATGCGCCATTGAATACAAAGGCCCATCAGCACCGGGTTGGTCACATAATGGTTAGGCGATCACCGGATCTACTATGTACGTACGTCAATGAAATCATGAATATAAAAAAAATTCGGGATAGACCGACATTAGAATTGGTTTTTATATGAGCCCGACATGTACTAGCAGTGATCGCTAAGATTCAATGTCTTCCGACTCCCGAGTATGTTATGATGATCATCACGGAGTCGATGCGGACAACTCACTTGAACGGCTGCTTCAAGTTGATCGAAGCTGTGCTGTTGCTAGTTATGAATTTGACTCTGAAAGCACTCTAATCTTGAAAGTCGGGGATCTGGCCACTCTGGGGCAAAAGTCTATAGTCTAACCTGAAGTAGTCTGGGTTTTCGGTGACTGTTTTTGAGCGGAGTTGTAATATTGATGCGCTCAGTCCAGAGTTGGCCATTTCCCGTAGGCTCGGGACCAGCCTGGCTTATATAACCACGGACAAGTCGAGTGGCGTAGCCAGGCTGGTCGATCTCGGAGAGATTTGGCAGGCGAAGCACGGAGTTTCAATTTAGCAGGTGCCGGTCGTGCCGGTCGAAGTAATAGTGCTACATAGTTACTGTTGACTATCAATCACTCAGAAACTTTCGTTCGCGCACTGCATAGAGTACCACATCTTTCTCGCTTTTGTGCTGCATCACTAAAATTTCAATGGGATACTTCAAATGATACCATTTGCTCCATATTATACTCCCCCACTGCAGTATGCCCTAACTCCAGAGTGTCATGATTGATTGCGATCGAACGAACCCCATACTCCTCGAATTCCTTGACCTGGAATCCAGAAGCGCAAATTTCACGCGATGAGAGTGATATTCAAATATTCAGCGTACATGATCTTTTTGAAGCAATTTTAAAGGTGTAACTGTGATAGCCATAGGCTTGTCGGGGGAGAGAAGCAAAGGTGTCTTTCCGGAGCCCGTTGCAGCTCGAAGAACCACATGTCTTCCTGCAAGCAAAGATACGAGAGCCTTGAGTTGAAATAACTTTGGAATTTTGGTGTCTTTCGAGACAAAATCAAGGTGCGCGAAAGCTTCGAGTAGTACTTGCTGGATCTGTATCGTTGAAAGTGTATTTGTAAAGTCCGTTGGAAGGTTTTCGAGAGCATTCAAAGCTGATATGGACATAGACAATACAGAACCAATGTTGAAACTCATGGTCATAACATAGAGATGTAGCAAAACAGTATATAGTGTCTGTCACAATGTCTAGATGTACGACGACACCCGGCACACCCGGCACCTGCTAAAATTCGAACTCCGTGCTTCGCCTGCCAAATTTCTCCGAGATCGACCAGTCTGACTACGTCAAAAATTCCCCACTCTCATGTGACGTACGTCAGACTGGTCACGAGTCTACATTTCCCGGACAACTTGATTTTCGCAATTTGAAAGATCGACGGCAAGTACTGGGCAACCACACTCGTTCCTCCAGCGAGGTCCTGGCATATCACACTGGTACTTAATACAAGGCTCAAACTAAATTTAAGGTTGTCCCGAGGTCGTGCAGTCTGAACCAGTCTCAAATTTCACTGCACTCAGTGACCGCCGAGCCCTCCAGCATTGAGCTAAATTATGCTCCAACTTGAAGAGACCGCGGATTGACCCTCTGTCCGAAGGAACGCCAAGAGTGACCATAAACCCTTGATTACCACTGATATTTATTCTTCTTCGTGTTGAACGGGCGTTGACTGCAGTCTCTTGTCCATCGTCCAGACTTTCACGCAAAGTTAGAAAAGGCACCGAAAAACATCCACAGTACATAAATTTTTATCAGGTGCGTTCTTATACAGCTCAACTTCAACTTATTTATAACAACTTTCATAGGGAATTGCTATCTTTCTCCCACCGGACACTATCAACTCGGACTTTCTATCGCCTATTCATGATTGATGATTGATGTGACATGCTCAATCTAGAGTCAGTGAGCGCTCGTTTTCAAAAGGGGCATGCCGTTTATCCATCCCCGACTCGGAGTGTTCACTCTAGTGGCAGTGATGGCATGATGCATGAACGTAAAGGCAGAAGCTAATTAGCAGAGTGTTATCGCATCCGGCAACTCGGATGTGGCCAACGGAGTGCTTTCGTGCGTACTACAAAATAATTTCCTCACAGCTTCGCCTACTACCAGCACGGTATGCTTTTGCCTGCCTATATAACTTACATCGAGCCATATCAGGTCGCATCTAGCTCACCTGTTAAAATGGAGGACAAACCTATTTTTCGCACAATAAGTAAGTACCCTGACGAGTCTCGGGTTGTTGACTGAGTAGCTTTTTTGTTGTAGGTCACCACTGCCAGACTGGTGGAAGGTACCAGACCCCAAAAAGTTCCCTGTAAAGGCTTTTCTATTTCGTGCACTCTGCATGATCTCGGTAGCCAGACCCTCTGTCGACCACTACTGGCAGTCTTTCACAGACGATGACGAATGGGAGAAACAACAGAGGAAGATCATCAATCGATTGTGTAACACTGACATAGTGGTGGGTGATATTGATGTAATATCGTTCGCGTACTAATACCATGACGTTGCAAGCAGGCTTGGTAGTACTCTCGGCAGTCGAAATATGAAGATATCTAACACTGAATCTGCAGATTCTCACTACTTCCGCGGTCTTTATTTCAACACAACCACCCCTGACATCGTTTCTTCCTTATGCATTGCGTGGTTCCTATATCTTTATCTTTTTGTCATTCGTACACGCGCTCGGTTGTATGTTGTGCGGTTTAGCTGTGGTTAACATATACGAAGCCTGTGATCGAACATGGGTTAAAGACGTTTGTAGCTAATCTGGCCTTGCACGTATCGATATTCACACAATTGCAGGTCTTGACGGCTTTGCGCTTTCGATTGTGTTCATCGGCTGGCCGAGTATATCCCTCACTGTTTCTATGATTTTTTTAATACTAGGTGAGCAGTTACATTCTCGTTTTGGGATGTAAATAACTAGTGATACTCCGTAGCAATCCTGATCGCATGTTATGCTCCCGGAGTTTGGTGGGTTCAATGCTTGGTAACGGTAGAAGTCTTGTCCCGGGCATGGCTACCTCCTCTCTTCGTCTGGTGCGCAATCCCTCAAGAGCATCGTAAAGAGAGTGGAAAATTGCAGGGTCTCGATACAGTCAGTTGCATATCCCTTTGTGATGTTCCCTCGCTGACCATTCCTTTCGAGGTACAGATAGTAGACTATGTTTGATCATTGTGAGTTGTACATGAATATAATCAATTCGCATTGGGCGCGGAGCTGATATTGCGACTCGTGAAAGTTGCTTCAATTTCAAAATGACGAATCCCCGCGCCAAATCTTAGATCTTGATCAGACTCAAGAACAATTCTACAACTGCCATTCGATTATACAAGCAACCACTTAGTACATGATATAAGTGATCGACGAGGCGACCACAAGACCACCGAGGATTGATCGACGGCTCAGAACTGGAGCTCTGATGAGGCAATGACCAGGTTGCAATATTTTAGCCGGGCTTCCAAACGCGCAGTCCTGTGGAAATGTGTAATAAGTAGAACATGCATACCCTAAATCACCTGCACAGGTGCCCTATCACCACAGCAGCCTGAAGGCGCTGCCACAGCACTGCACGTTCAACTCTTCCAAGGCATGTCACCGCTTTTAGTAAGTATTGCAGCCTTGACAAAAAAAACTGCTTTACGGATTGGTCGAGCCTTAGATCTCGTGATGGCCTGTCACAAGTCACACAGCACCGGCACAGCAGTTCACTGCCTTCTAGTTATCCCCTATAAATCTCAAGAGTTTAGTCTTTACTGTTACCCATCATACACATCATGTGGTCCTGGGACACGCAGCCAAATTCGCACGCCCAACGCAAGTTCATTGAACTTATATTGGATCGAACTGGAAAGTATCCCAACTGGGACCCACCCTCGGAGATTCCAGTGCGTGTTATCAGTGGCCCACATTGCCTTTCGTGTTGATATTGAGCAGGTTGGGTCATACGGAAGGATCGACAAAGCCACGGGCAATTTGATCCCCCAAGGCTCTATACTCAGATGATTTCAAGGATCATCTCATCGATGCAGGTATCAACATTGAGTCTGGCGAGCACCTTCCCGAAGAATGTCCAGAAGAGCCTGAGTTCACAACCTGGTCCAAAAATGTGAAACAAATCGAATTGAATGTCGATTCTCAAACGTGAGTTGCCAGGTCCTTGGCTTTCGATCATCTCCTGATATCGCATTCCATTGATTCTACTAGAAATGTCCCTGAGATCGCCACAGCTGCAATTAAAGGGACATAGCAAGTTAAGAAAGGCACAACTGGTGCCGTCTTGCTCATGAACAAGCCTCGTACGAAACGCATTACTTCAGACGCTGTGGGGAAGCTCGCGAAACTTCAGCTCTTTCAATCCATGCGCCTCGTTACCAAAGCCGTCTATTGTCCTGCCTTCTCCATGTACCTTTCAGATACAAGTGAGTGTGTCATCTTATTAGAAACAAATACACTCATCCAGGGGAAGGCGGTGAAAGTTTCTCTATAGCTCTTCTAGGTTCCGCGCCTATTGCGGAGCCTGTGGGAACAGTTGATTCCATGGCTACTATGAGATGGTGGAGTGACACACAAACTGGATTAACACGCAACGGATGCAAGACAGAGCATTGCTACTCCCCTTTATATGAACTTTTGCATGTGAGGCACCCTCGTAACAGGCGAGCGACGCCATCACCAATACGCACAAGTGAAATGTTGTGAGTGTACTCATTACTGCTATGATGGATATGTTGGCTGATGGAGGGGTGTGCAAGATGGATAGCCTCTCCCGTCCCGTGGGCGCCTCTTCGTGAGGATGGCACAGAGGTGCCGATATACATCCAAGTGAGTATCACATCTAACTGGCCAAGTTTCATAGTTGACGATTTCTTCCACAAAAGAATTCGGATTCCAGCGACTCTGAGCCGGAAGACAACGAACATTTGTAGCGTTTGTGGTAAGATAGTATACGATGAGCTTGTGTCATATTGTAATATTAGGGCTTTCGTAAGTACGCTCTCGATGCACCAGTCTATACCTTGTTTAGTTTTTGTAACAAAAAATGGTCAGTGGTATCTACCAGAGTACAATGAACAAAGAAGGCCAAAGTATGAGGTAGTTTAAGCAAAAAAAACATGAAAACCAACGATATTTCTGTTGACAAGCAAGAGCAGGATCGATGCGTAACACGTACCCAACCTCTCACAATATAGGCTCTCCGAGTGCAAATTATGGCCGAATGGCATTTTGCATCTAAAAGGAAGTCCATGATTGTCAGCACCGGGATATGATAATGTGTATGGAACGACGTTTTGTCCAATCACGTCGTCGATGTGCTGATGCCCATGTCGGTACAGATCGATCAAAATGCTAGCGAAACATGGCAGCTCGATGGACTCATCTATGTCAAAGAGGACTCCCCGCTGCTAAAGTCTGTCTCGAAGGCTGATGATAAGGTTATTGAGAGATGCGGATCGATCAGGATAGCCACGAGAACGTTCCTGCATTCTGATATTTACAAATTGCAATTTTCTTTCTGCAGCGAGATTCCTCACTTTAGACCCAGATTTTATTGCCAATCTACCAAGGGTGTCACTTGATACAATCTTGCAATCCAACGAACACTGAATTTCAACCCATCCTTTGTCTCCAGACAGACTGATATACTGATCTGCTCCTTGTCAGTAGATACATCAAATAACAGGGATCTCGGGCTTACTGTTTGGCGATCCTGTTGATTGATGGCATGTCCACTTCTCCGCAGTCTATAACTCCCTCACACGTGTTTGACCACTAACACGTTTCCAGCAATATCGTCGGCGTTCAACTTGATTCCTACAATCTTGCAAATTAAAGCTTTTGGTAGCGTGTGTACCAGTGGATATTTCCGAAAGAACGTGTACCCAAGTGCCGGGCATCCACGGGCACATTTGTAATGAGATTGTACGTTTTACGAAACCGCCCTATAGGTGAGACGAAGATATCTGGTTTAAGCTGATCGACCCAGTGAATTGCTTGGACTTGCGAGGTGTCAGTCACTGTCTCCACACCATTCCGGAGTAGGACTGCCACTACGTGCAAATTGCTCGTACTGCTGCGAACCATATTGCAGTGAGTGACAAGGTGGCGATGCTACGTGAGCGCAGCCTCAAAATCAGGGCATACGATGTTGTAGCCACAATTAAAATGGTCTTGTCTGCTATGGGACCAAAAATTATTCGATCTGAAGCATTACTGAGGCAACGTTGACGAGGTGAACCGGGAGGAAGCGAGGAAAGGTTAATGAAGAGCGTAACGAGAGAATATAGGTGAAAGTGTTGAAACAGGTTGGTGCATGATCTGAGAACTACACAGCAGGGAGGGAGGTAGATTGCAAGAGGCAGTACTTGGAAGTTCGGAACGGAATATAACTTCCATAATACAGCTTAGGGCCGAGATGCCTATTCGGTCGGAGTTGCTGTACGTAGACCGCGGCTGCCCACTGCTAAGTACTACTAGTATCAGTAAGTATAGCCTGACCGCAGCAGGCGCCGGTGAAAGACGCAAATTCTCAACCAAGGCATGTAATCACCGCCCTGTGATAGCAGATCCGAGCAACCTAGGCATTTGGAACTATTCAATGATCATTGTGTTTGTTTGAACGGATCCACGGCGTGACCGCGGCCAGATGACTAGACCAATGGCAATTGCATTAATGCTTTTACTAGAACGCTCTCACGTCGCGGTATACCATCCGAGCTTTTAGCGCCTGTCGCACAGCAGCCCAGTTGCACTGCCTTCCTGGCCTTTATAAGACCTCGAGATTGTTACTTCTCGGTAAACCATATACCATCACCACAGATGTTATTCACCCAGTCGAATGCGCAACGCAAGTTCATGGATCTCATATTCGAGAGAACCACGAAGTATCCGAACTGGGACCCACCCGCAGAGATTACAGTACGTCTGATCAGTGGCTCACGTCGTCTTTAGTTGTATGTTGACGTCGAGCAGGTTGGGTCATTCGGAAAGATCGATAAAGTCACGGGCAATTTTATCCCCAAAGGTTCCATCTACTCCAACGATTTCCAAACGCTTCTCCGCCGTGTAGGCATCGACCCCGAGTCTGAATTCACTGCTTGGTCGAAAACGTCAGAAGATTAGAATTGAACGTCGAATCTCACGCGTGAGTTAACATGTCATCCGTTCTGATATCGCATTCCGATCGGCTTTGAATCCACCAGAGGTGTGCCTGGGATTGCTACAGCTACTATCAAAGGAACATGGCAGTTCAGAAGGGGAACCACTGGCGCTCTCTTGATCATGAATAAACCTCGGATAAAAACCATCACTCCAGACGTTCTTGGGAAGCTCTCCAGCATTGAGTTCCTCAAGTCAGTTCATCTCGTTACCAAGGTTTTTTATTGTCCTGCCTACACCTTGTACCTCTCAGATAAAAGTAAGTGTGCCATGTCGTCTGAAACTGATATACTCATCTAGGTGCAGGCGGAGAAAATATCAACATTGCTCTGTTATCTTCCGTCCCCGTTGTAGCGCCCCTGGGCACTGTTGGTGCGACGGCCGGGGTGAAATGGTGGAGTGACGCACAAGCTGGATTGACACGCAGTGGGAGCATGCCGGACCATTGCTTCACTCCTTTGTATGAACTTAAGCATCCCAGGTATTCCCGCGCTAGTAGGCGGTCATCAATATCCCCCGAACGCACAGGCGAAGATTTGTGAGTGCAATTATTGAGCCGACTTGTTGGTTAACTGAACAGCGTATCAGATGGGTTACCCCACACCTCCCGTGGGCGTCTCTTGATGAGGATGGTCAAGAGCCGCCGGTGTTCATCGACGTGAGTATCACATATTATCAGTCAATTTCAGTACTTGACAATTCCTTGAACAGAATAATCCGGATTCCAGTGACTCTGAGGATTGGTAACAATGCCTAGATACCAACTCGTTTTCTATGCTACAGATATTGACATGTTTGTGCTGGTATTCATGATGAGCTTGCATGATATATCTGTAGCACCAACAACAAGCGTTGTAGCTGACTCTCATTCGCATCACACACGATACCTTGGAATACTCACGATATCAAATCAAGAAAGAGACAGGGAATTTCTATATTTATATACCACGGAAGCTGTTAAGACGCGTCAGTGCTCTGTGAGCTGTCCTGGGGGATATCATACGAGAAAAGGGAAAAAGTTATAGTGCGAATAGCCAGTAGAATCTGTTCTCGACATTGGCTTTCACTTAGCATGTGAATCACTTGACGATACTTCTAGGTAAAATTTCCGCCGCAACAGCGGTACCGCAGAGGTGAGGGTAGTAAATGTAATCGTTGTGTAGGGTCTGATGTTCGCATTATCTATTGGGCATGATTCGCATCTCCGGTTGTGAGTGATGTGCAGGATTACGAAGTGTGGAATTTGGCCCTTGAGTTTGCCTTGAGTGAAATGATCGCCCTTAGTGACGTGTTCGGCGACGAGGGTCAGACAGTACTGGGGGAAAATGCACTCCGAATATACGATGCACACGAAGGTGCGCAAGGAGGCCGGGGAATAGCCAGTGTTCATTAGCAAGATTGAATATTGGCAACGGAGAGAGAACAAAATAATCCTCTAGCATGCAAAGTTCAGCGGCCAGCCACACACCCTTATCATGAATGATTCAAGGTCAGATCGCTGAGGACTGAAGTAAACTGTTGTGACATATATTCATTATTCCGTGAGAACGGGGATATGCAACCTGCATAGGAGCTTCACACGTTGCAGGAACCGTATGTCGACGAGTGTGTGAAATGCCAGAATATGAACCAGATTGAGGGAATAAGCCTGTGCTGTCCAGGGGCTAGTAAGTGATCGACTTGGCGTTAACCCTCATGCTAGACGTACCTTTCCCTCAAGATTCAGCCGAGTACGCAGACGGATTCAATCTGAGTCAGTCTCATCCCATACAATACTAGAGGGATTGTCATATACGCGGCCCTGGCTGTGAGCTTGGAAGCGAGGTTGCAGCTGAGTTCGGTATGAAGCCTGACTCATTGGGAGTGCAGCGGTTGGCCATGTAGAAGCGTTGACTCTCGGATCTGTATATTTATATTGCATAGTTGCGTGTTGCTGTTCTTCAGCACGTCTATTTCGTTTCTGTATCAGCCTTCTACTTTAATCTTAGAACTCACATGCGAGCGCCCGACAGAATTAAAGTGTGACCGAAAGCTGCAGAAGAGTAGCATGATACGCGAGAGAGTAGCTGAAACAGTAAAAAAGTGTTTTGACACTGATTCAGGTGGCATCTGCCGAAGAAATACCTAATACAGCAATTTCAGGAACAAAAATTGTCTCAAGTTAACGTCGACGTCAGACAAACTGTGGAAGCGTGATATAAGGATCTTGCTGTGAGTTTCACTTCTTATCAGCAGCATTTTAATTCACTATTGAATGTGATGATGCCAGCATCGACCACGCCGAGTCTTGCGACAAGCAAGGCTCGCTCAAGACGACGGTCGCATACTTTGAGGCTAACCCCGGCTTTTGGCACACCTGGCCTAAGCTCATCTTCTTCATCTTCGTGTTCATCTTCATCTTCTTCGTCCTTATCTTCATCGCGGACTACATCGTGTTGCAAACCACCATACATACCTTTGTGCGACTTGCTTACCCCTGCAGACACTGGTGCACACTCCTCTCAGACACGTCCTTCCGCAGTGTCTACACCGCCGCCATCACCACGAAAATCTTCGCAAGATTTTGTCGTTTCTACTGCGCCAATACATCCTATGCGCAATCACTACCGTCCACGGGAACGTGACTTGCTCTCCGAGAATCGTGACCAGGAATTGAGTGCAGATGACGAGGAAGACACGACTAATGTTATATACACTGCTAGACGCACTCGAAGTAATCAAGACATACACCGTCACACTAATACACGATCAGTGAAGGATTCACGAGCGAGCGGGTTTCGTGCAGTCCTAAACGTGGGCATTGGCTGGCGGAGGCCCAAGTCGGAGCAGATAACAACTGCTCCAGGACAATTAGGTGCTGGTGAAACAGAGACCGAGGCTGACGAACCTGTGAGGATTTATCGGCATATGCATCATACTTTTCTTACTTGGATACGTATTTGCAGCCACGACATCTTCCGACGACGCGTATCCTACCTGCCTCAGATCCATTAGTTCCACCAAGCACTCTGACAACCCTACTTTTTGATGCATCACGGCTCCTTTCTGTCGTCCCTGCTTTATTAGGCGCGCTCATAAATGCCTGGTGTGTCTGGAAAACTCCAGGTCTGTACTCAGGACAATTCGCTCCCGGTTCGTGCTCTCGAATTAATCGAGAGCATGATAGTTGGGGTCGCATCGCTCTGCCGGACAGAGCTGATTATTTTCTGGCAGTGCTTTGGGTAAGGTTTTATCTTTTCAGGGTGGTTAATCTCCAGGTTGATGTTTTTATCATCTGCAGGCGCTACTGACGGCGCATCAATGCCTCCAGTTAACAACAGGACTCCTTCACCGGTGGCGTGCCTACTACCCCCCTTTATCCACGCTCATACGTCTTCTCGCTTTGCAGGCCATTTGTTGGCCTGCAACCCATTTTACGCTCGAGATCCTTGGCGGATTAGGTTTTAATGTCGATGTCGCATTCTCTACATTAAATATCTTGGACAGCACACTGCTACGTTGGACCACAATACGTCCGGATGTGTGCTGGGCTGTCATAGGGACGACGACGTGCATTTCTCGTAGCATCCAAATATGGGTGACGAGCAACCTTCTCACGTCAGATACAGGTACTCGCGTGTCGGCCGTCCCTGATCGTCTACGGCCTCATGTAAAACTTAAGGGAGAGGAGACACGCAAATTGGTTGGACGCCGATGGGATTGGGGTGTCGTTGCAAAGGTCTGCATGTTACCTGCAGGGTGTTTGTATTTCGTCATGGCGTGGATTGGTGCATGGAGAAGGGAGGCCTGGGATTGCTAGAGTTATAGGTCACTTCCATTTGTACCTGTTGTACAGTTTATGCACCAATGTCCCCGTATATTGAATATGCATCAGGCCACAGTGCTGTTAGAGCGCTGAACTATCAAATCATGGATCTTGTGAAACCATTCACTGCAGTCGACTTGAGGGGAGAATGCGTGTTTGTATCTATGAGGAAATGATATCTCTCTGAAAGGATATATCGAGATGCATCATCCGACTTAATTATCCATGCTGGTGATACATTCGTCGAGGCTAATTGTCCTGAACTTCCTCCTTTTGGCGCGCTCCTTGCAGACTCAGATAACGTGAAGGGCAATGATATGAAACACACATGGATTTATTTGGTTGCTGTGGGTGTCACAGCAGCACCGAGACCGCTCAAGGCATGAAATAAGATAGAAAATGATTCATCATGTAGACCATTGATTGATACACCACAGCGAATAATAAAAACAGCTATGAATAACTGTTAGCTTCGGGACACGCATTACAGTAGTCTGACCCAGTGCAGGGCATTAGGCGACGGGAGGTAGCAGGAGGTGATGATTCAACGAGGGGTGCTACGATCGCTGGGATAAAAATTCTGCCTCCGCTGTTCTCTGACCTCCAAAAAGATCAGCAGGTAGTTACACCGCGGCTCAATTTAGAGTTTGAAAATGTGTGTTATTTCATAGTAAGGACTTACTGTACACTGATACTCCACCCGGCCTGGCTCTTGATTTAGCCTCAACCCTTGTGTAAGTATGTGATGATAAATATATCCCGCAGTATTATGATGTAGAGAAATTCAAGACGACTGTCTTGGCGTGAGGGGGAGACTGCTAGGCGTAGTTGCTGTTTTCGAACTTAGGGATTAATATTTTAACCAGCAACCGTTATTAAATGGATGAGCACAAAACCGACGAATAACCAACAAAAAAGGACAAACCTGTACTTAGCTTAAAGATCTAGCACTTTTCATCTGTAAGGCTCACCTCGCCAACCTGTAGATCCAACTGATGACACCGAAGGTCTAGATGAATCCCTTGGCGATCATTCTCCTGGCATTTACGGCTGTTGGTCCTCTTAGTGCACGAGCCATATTCGACTTCACGATCACTGACGCTCCATGCATTTGGGAGTCGTGTGGGGGAATCCCGTACTTGGGAACGGTTGTTGCGGACACGAGAAGTTGCGACTTAAACGGTGTCGAGGCGACTCAGTACTGTTGTAGTGTATCAACTGAGAAAGCATTGTGACGTAAATGAGAGGCCCGGGTATGTCAGTGATGAAACTCTGTCACGGTATCAGAACACGTACTGAACGCAAGATAGAGATGACAGTTGTTCAGCTGCAAGATAGCGCGCTTTAGTCGCCTTCAAGTTGGTAAAAAATTGTTTCGTTATCGACAAGAAATCAGACTCGTTCTTGATCACTGACTATACGGACCTAAGGATCGGATTAGGAGAGGACTACCTGTACAATGAAAGGATGTTCGCGATAGTTGGATCTCCGCTAGGTCGATGAGAATTAGGTTATTACAGGGTTGATGGCAGCTGTAGTAACGCCCAGCACTGGTTTAACTGCGACCCCTTCAAGTTGGTATCAAAAGAGGCGTGCTAAGTCAGCATGAGGGAGAGACTACATGATTTCACAGGCCAGCCTCTATCACGTTGTCGAGGAACCAGAGCTTGATTTAGATTCGTGAGTACCATTATCAATTACGTGGTACCCATGAGGTACTCACTGGGTTCAGAATATCTATTGATGCGGAATTTTTTTACATACCTCCGAGTCAAAGCCGATAACCACGCCCGCCCATTCCTGTAACCAAAGCAGCACGATGTCATCTGATACGAAGTTTTCATCTGAGGCCCCGCCTTAAACGATACCGTTCTTCTTTGCTTGCGTGGAGGAAGAGTCAGTTATCCTAGTTCTTTGGATTGTATCTTTGGGGAAAGGATATATCCCTTTGGAAGGATACTATATGCCTAACATCGGGATCTGACTTGGTTGTCCATGCCAGTGAGGCTGAACTTCCTCCTTTTGGAGAGCTCCTCGCTAACTTGAAGAACATTGATATGAAACAAAACTCATCACTGCGGCGGTTCGGTTACATAAGTTAAAAGTTACGTACCAGTACCGACTTTTTTTCGTGAAACCAATTTCCCCCATATTCTTGCTTTAGGGATGTCATCCGAGACGCGATTCTGGAGCTCTGCTTCTGTCCCCCTCTGGACCAGGCACAACCAGTCTTACTAACAAAACTACTTCCAAAGGAGGTTTTCCTTGATGTACTACGCTACGGACGGACCTCGGCGATGTCTTCATTCAAACTTTCATCTAGATAATGCAGCTGCCAGTGTCACTTGATACTTACCACCTAATAATGCATGCCTGCGCCCTCGTACATATTCATCTTTCGGTCTCGACCTCCGATCACATTCTTCATTTCAGTTATCTGGAAGATCGCATCTCTGGTACGACAATAACTTTACTTGCACTTTCTCAATTCGTCTTTTCCCTTCTAGCTAGCTCTCAACACTTGTTACCGATGGAGAAATCGACAAGGCACGGCGTATTTGGCGCATGCAGACGTTCAAATTCCGAGTTAGAACATAATAGAACTGTGATCTGGGACTTCGCCTTCGGCAGGTACTTAGGGTTCACATGAGGCATGGTATTCGTTCTCTATATGCTTCTTGGTCCAAACTTTAACTTCGTGATTTCTGCGCAATAGCTCCGGGATCGGTCGCAAGAAGGCACTTGAACATTACTCGAGACGTGAGGCTCAGGGCCTGTAAAATGGAACCGATATTAACGACTAACTGTCGACGTAAAATACTCGACAGTAGAGGGATTTTGCGAATACGAACTTTCCGAACGCGTCATGCATTTGGGGATATATTGGAATACAGTTCGTCACGATCACGAGGAACCCGCCATGGAAGGGTCGCTCGGTCGAGGTCTCTTCCCATCTGCTTCGTGATAGTTGATCATCGTTAAATAGATCATCATATGCGATTGCCCAGAATCAATCCAAATCCAGAGCTAGCTTCTCCTTACCCGGCTGACGATTCTCGTCCAACTTTCAAAGAAAATCCCCGATAGACAGATAGAATGTTCTTGCCTTCCAACAACTTGAAGGTACGAGGCGCGCATCGTATCGACTCAATACTACTCCAACGATCAAAATTCTCTCAAGGGGACATCGCCGGTCTTATTCTCGAGATCCGGTTAGTATGGCAGAGAGATCATCACCTAATACAGAGAAGCTGATCTCTCACTTTACAAGCCAACTCGATCCGCTCGTTGCTACTAAACTATGGAAAGCCTAACGTCCGTGCTCTCAAATCAGTGTCACGCATCCATTTAAGGGCATAGGACCCTGTACACCGCTGGAGATACGTTTTATCGCCCCACGCTGATGTGGTTCGGAATGCAAACAAGTGTGCGTCTGAATTGTACAAGAAATCTAACTAGTATACTGAGATGAATGAGACAATTACCATTCGTCTGCGGAACCATCATCATCTTCACAATCTGAGAACTCCGAGACAACTAAGCCAGCATCATCCAGTTCAAAGACTTCCTCCACTCCTGTCAATTCCGGTTCATCATCACGTTCAAAACTGTCCAATTGACGATGGTGTTCGGTATCTGAAAAATGTCATGTTTCCAACATGGAGCATGATAAACGGCAACTTACCCATGCCGAGTCCTCCATTCACACCCCCCATATAATATGCGTCGTTGGATGGAGGTAAGTCCTTGTAATTGTCCAAAAGCGGGACAACTTCTTCATCTTCGCTGCTGTCTAGGAGCTCAATCTGTGGTGGCAGCTCATCAGCGTGCTGCAATAGGTCCAACAGCTGGAGATAAATATCCCAAGCTGATTGTCGTGTAACTGCTGGGCGACCCAGTTGATCATAGAGTTGCGCAATGTATTCCCCAAATGCCTGAGGGACCAGATCAAATACTTGATGTGAAGGCTTGATGTAGGCACTTCGTACATGGCCTAGGGCCTCTCGTTCGAGTTTGATCTGTACATGGGATTGCTATTAGAATACTGTTGACAGTAGTGATGCATTAGTACGAACCTTGAAATCTAAGGCCCCAAAGTCTTCAGCTGCCTCGTAGATGAGATTGGGGACGCCATGTGGGAGAATCTGGATGAAAACATAAATGACGTGAGATTCAATAATACAATGGTATTACAGAAAACGTACCTTATTGCGGTCACGCCGTTTTGCAGAGTTGTTGATGCGATCTCGATAAGCATTTAGCTCCTGCTGGAGCCACGGAATAAAGACCCAACGGAAAACTAGTCTGAAATGAATATTTGAGCTGCTAATGATGAGACAAAGCCCGAAAACATGACTTACACTTGAACAGTGTTGTTAGTATTATACCAGCCTGTGTTGACGCCGTGATCCAGTAGACTTTCGAAGCCTGGGGTGAAACGACGCCGCAGTTGAGACCAGGTGATCTCCGGCATGACATTCTTCTTGTTGCGCATCCAGCGATGTTGGAGCGTGCCGTGCAAATCCGGGTCATGCCATTGTCGTAACATCGTGTGAGCATTGGCAATGCCAAAGTTTTCAGAACCTGGGTCACTTTGTGTGACCATAGGCATATCTATGAAATGAGTCAGGCTCATGGGTGTCATGAATAATATGTATTAACTTACGGCCAAGTTCTTCAATTGTGTCAAGATAATAGCTAAGAATCAACTGTGGATTTCTGTTAGAATGCCAGACTCTGATCCACATAATGCGGCCAGAGAATGGTTCAATACCCGTGTGCAGCCCCAGACCAAACTTGAGCCATTTATTGTGCTGGTCGACTGCAAACAAATCATTTACACCCGCGGCCCAGAATCGCCTTCTTCGAAGGCGACGTGCCTTACGCTCGCGGACAAGGCCAGGTTCAAACCTAGCAAAATATGATACTAGGACACTCCTAAGATGAAAAAGAGTCAGCGAACTGATGCAGTACAGTCAGCACAGATATCACCTAGCCACGCTCATATCCTTCTCATGAAACAGCAAACTTGCCATTTCACGTGCACCTGCATTTGGATAGATTGCATGTAACTCGATCATTGCATTGCGAATCGACTCAACAGTATGAGCTTGCTGGCGGGTCCGGTGAAGGCCCATTGCTTGGCGGATTTCGAGAAATTTGGTACGTCTAGTGTTCAACATTACATTATGGGTGATGTTACGCACTCAAATAGATCTGTTAGGCAGAGCCCTAAGAGGGGCGACGACTGCTAACGTTCGTGACGTAACCGGAAGGATCCGGTATAGCAAGTGATACTGGCGACGGTCGTGTCGGCAGATATCACAGTATGCGCGTGTCACGTGACTTAGGAGACGGATGTCTCAGAAGTCACTCAAGGTAAGGACAGTCTTGTCCGAACGATGAGGTCGATCGAGGATAGACTTAGCCGCGAGGAGCGACTAAGAAAAGATACTAGAGACAGAAGCTGAGGGGGCTTCTGAGGGAAGTATGTTCCAGGGAAGATTGAGTAGATTCAAGTTAGAGAATCTAGTACAAGGTGACCGACTACTTATACTAAGTGGAGAGGGTTAAGGGCAAGGCTACCGCACAGTAGGTAAGGGTAAGGGGGATACGGGAATGGTATAGGTGCGTTGGCAACACAGCCGGATTAGTGATGGATGGTCGAATATGGAATGAGACCGAGAAACGTTGGAACGGACCAACGGTAAGAATACAACGTGCGGGAATCCGCAGTCAGGGGAAACAGAAAGAGGAAAGCCACATTGGTGGCACGAGTCAGACCGAGTCAGAGGTGCGGGACCACATTGGTGGTCGAATCAGAAGAGGAACGTGCAGTGCACGTGCATAGTGGTGGATGATGCGAGGGACGGGAACGGTCCCGAGGATCCGGTCAACGGAAAGTCGGTAAAGGAGGACGAGCCGGTAGGTGGTGAGGGCGAGGATGAAGGGAAAATGATAGGGGGGCCACGTGACCGATGTTACTTGTAACAGGTGAGGAATAATAACCCTGTGACTTACCCGATGCCATAGTGACTTGTGTCGATGTGCTTCTGCAGCTCAAGGACAATCTGACGGTCTGTCTGGCGTGCTTTCCACATGCGCAGAATATGTGGTGCAATTAGCTCCAGCGGAGCTGCATGAAGATCAGAACACTGGGAGGAAAGTTATAGTGAAAGCTCACGAGTGGGTTTCCATTGGTTCAGCATGGAATAATCACAATGGCTGTGTAGGTGTTGATATTTATAATCTGACTGAGCTGCAGGACTCATATTGAATGAGTGGTGTTCTGCTTGCCAGGAACACCGATCGGTGATAGCACATCATCATCCTTACGTACCTTTACGTGTTGATGGGCTATGCAGCTGGTAGCTGATGGCCTTGCGTACTTTTACATGTTGATATCCTTGCGTACCTTTACGTGTTGATGGGCTATGCAACTGGCAGCCAGTGATAATGACTCAAATTGGTTTGTAAGAGGTACACAAACAGTGATACTCATCCTCTGATAGGTCTTGCTCAGTTTGAGTTCACCACGCAGCTGCCAATCCTCATGCTCAAACTGTTAAGTGGGTAAGTCATTTGCTGGACTGGCAAACACTCCGACTCGCATATCATCCCCCTTTGTCTTGCCCATCTGTAGAGAGTCGCATACTCGGACCGGGGACTGGGAAATTCAGGCTTGTTCCAAGTAGCCCTATCAAGTAAGTACACCTAGCTTGCCATCATTTCTTTCCAAGGCTCGTGGGCTGATGTGCAGCCACTTCTAGCTCCTCAATAAGAGTGTTAAGCAAAATTCACAGTTACATTCTGGCGACTCATGTCATCCGCAAACCTCCCGATGTGTTCTCCACATGTGTTACGGTCATGTATGACCTTGTTCCGGCGCTCATGTATGACCTTGTAAACCTCCTGATGACATATATATTGAAGGTGATGAATTGGCAGCAGATTATTACAGACCACGATGGCAGAGTACGAGATCATTTCTCAATTCACCGAGGACGCCTATGCCAAAGAGGATCGCATCTGTGACCGTCCTGTTTGCAGGGCCAAGATCAGGAAAGGTGACCCATGTTTCTATGTGGCTACCATCGAGCCAGGACAACCTGGGCGTAATGTGTGTGCCCCCTGCTACTCGCATTACAAGAAGAACCCAGCGACCTCAGTGAGACCCACCCGCCGAACCGAGCAGCTGCGTCCATTTGCCAGTGCACAGGGTTCAAATAACGACCGGGTCGCTCCTGATATGCGTGCAATTCAACAGTCGGTGAATGCAGCACAACGGAAATGTGAGTATATTATACGTTCGGAGTCCCTCTGCTAATTCACACAACAACAGTAATGATCAACCCTCCACCTGTGGTGGCAATGCCTCGTCGCACTGCAGGGCCAGACATCATGATACCTACATCATGGCAAGGCTCGTCATGGCAAGGCTCATCACAGTCAACTGGTCCACCATGGCCTGGGCAAGGTTAGATGATTCTCTCTTGTTTAGTGCGTTGTGACCCTTCCACTCATCTCTGATTCTGTCAGGTTCATCAAACGGTCCAATTGGATACTCATCTCAACACGCACTATATGCTACTGAGCGTGAATGCTGGGCCAAGATATCTTATGCCACACCTCCGGCAGAGACCATCTTAATCGAAATTAGTGCAGTTCATGAAGGTGGAGGTCGCAAAAAACGCGGGGTTCCCATTGGGGTATGTATGCGCTATATTATTGAACTTGGTGGTGACTGACATCTTTGCTTAGAATATATGTGAGGGAAAGAAGGGCATTGATGCACAGATTGATGCGCCAGGGCTGATTGAGCTCGCATTGGACACTATTGTGCCCAAGTTGCAGATTTTTGGTGGTGGATTTCTCTGGCGGGTGAATGAGTTTATAGTGCGAGATTCTGCATGGGTGGATCTTTCCAATCACCGACGGTCGGTTGCTTACTTCTACGATCAATGTCAGCAGCTGTCCCGCAAAGGCTCAAAGACAACAACATTCAAATCAAGACAGTTCGCACTAATGGTCATTGTTCCTGAGACTCAGTGGATTGAATACGAGAACTGGCGGGAAGATGCTGAAATGGTATGTGTTTACCTCACCTGTTTGCCAAACTAACATTATTTCACTATTTAGAATGCTGCTCGTATTGGTCAACGTCCTGCTTGCAAAGTTATCACCCCCCAAGTCCCCTCTTCAGTACAATCCTCAGTGGACTTGGAGAGTGAGCTTGGTACAGCGCAAACCAATGATGGTGCCACCACCTCTGACAACGTCCGAAGCAATATTTTGCCTACGACCACTGTCACTACCTCCACCAAGCGATCCCATCAACACACTCACAGCTCTAGCAGCTTTGATATTCCGTCTCCTCCTCGAAAGAGAGATGTCGCACCTGCAGCTCTCTGTTCTCCTGATCGTGACCGACTGAAGGAAGTTTTGAGGATTGGCGGAGGCACTAACTTAGACATGAAGCAAGGTATGTTCATTATACTTATGGCGCTAGCAGCAGGACTTATTTGACTTTTAGTCTTTGGGCGACAGAGTGAGAGGATCCACTTCTACCTAGTCCCTTCTCGCCCCATAACAGACCTCTTACTGGACAAGTACCATTCCTTTTCCGTGGACACTGCTGAGTGGTCCATGGGTGAGCTGATTGTCGATACATCACCTCAAGGCCTGATTGGAGTCAGAGGCTTCAAAACTGCTCACACAGGATGGCTCACGCTGATGGCCCCACCAAAGATAGGCCCCGGTTCTGTTGCGCACGATAAGATTGTTGTTAAACGACCCTACCATAAGGTATTCGCGACACCCACCACCACGACGGGACCATACAAGATTGCCCGTTATTCACTCGTTGATGAACTATCCAGGCTCTTCAAGGAGGCCAACGTTTTGTACTGGGCGAAGTCCTTGTTAAAGCTAACCTACGACTTCATTGATTGTTGTGTTGCATCTTCATCTGAACCACCCCCATTCCCAATTCCACGAGTTCGTTTTGTAGAAGGTGGGCTCGCACTGGCTTATTTTCAGGGTGATAGAAAACCTGGAGGCAAGACTGGGTCCACACGTGCCGTCTTTCTTCTCGAAGAGTTCATCGACAGCGATGGAGAAGACTTCGTCAAATTCATTCACAATATGGACGCCAACCCTTTGATTGATTATGACGAGTACGGCTATGACTTGGCGGTGTTCTTTTCATTCACGCAGCACATACAATATGCCAAGACCGGTAAATTGGCATTTATATCTGATTATCAAGGTGCGTGAACAATGTACCAGTGTGCGCTCTGAGACTGACACAATACCTTTAAAATTAGGGAGTACAACACTGCTGACGGACCCTCAAATCCTGACACATCCGTGAGTTGCTTGAGTGTTGGGCTTCTTATGTTGATCTGACACATCAGATAGATCCGTCAGTGATGGCCACCTTGATATTTTCGGGGATGGAAACATCGAGATGACTGTGAGTCAGTTTGAGAAGGAGCATATTTGCAACAAGTACTGCAAATGGCCGGCATTTGGGCTAGAGGTTTATACGAGTGGGGAAGAAGAAGATGAGCTAGAGGCTTGCGCAGATGGAGAAGATGGGCCAGAGGCTTATGCAGATGGTGAAGAAGAACGTGAAAATTAGAAATTTCTTCTTGGAACTGGGACTTGATACTTTCTTCTTGGAAACAAACACGTAGCCGTCATATATGTCTCGCTTGATATCAATACTCAGTACTGTGATATGGTAGTTATAGCGTGAAACGATTGATTGGTTTTGGTGGTTACATGGCGCGAAGGTGGCTGTGCCATGGAAGATCACACCACCAAAATCGAGGTTTCGACATTTGCCCGATAACAAAAGTAAGACCAAGTATAGTAAACTGGAGTTGTGTACATCGATATGCACACATCGACGTCAAGCCATTGAAAAGCATTGCGATGTGATAGTCCGATCAAAACGTCGTACTGGTACAAAACTTCAACAAGTACAAATAGAAAACGGATCCGTTTATATGTGATTGCTGAATAAACAAAAAAAAGATGGCGGGTGCACGGTGTCCCAATTATGTGACTGCCTTATTTGGAGCATGTCACATCAAGTAACAGAGCACGGACGTTAGGCTTTCCATACTAAACTGGTAGTTTGACATGATCAAGTATCGAGTATGGTATATGATATGATGATATTACAGCAATATCAGAATTGTATTTTGATCGTCAGACTGGGAGGCTCTGTGCTACATTCTACTAATGCTGGTCTGGGTTGTACATGTTTGATGAAACTTTTGCAGTCTCGTCGTGTACTTAACTCTGGGACCATCACGGCGAAGTTGAATCGGATTCAGAGGCGATACAAGTTTTTCTATTGGTTCGCATCACTGATCAGATGGAGATCGCAAAGGAAGATTCATTTTTCTGGCTGTTGCCCTCCGTCTCGAGTTCAGCTCACATGTACATACGTACATAACCTGTACACGCGTGAACGAGACTCGAAGACCCGAAGATTTTCGGGTCTAATTGATAGCCAATGAAAATTTTGAGGTCGATTTGGCGTCTGCACAAAGTGAACAATGTACATCATAGCTCCGCCGAGAGCCTTCAATTCAATGATATTCTCCATGACGGTACGTAATTCCAGCCGGGTAATACAAGTACATATCAGTGCGCGAAAACATGATCTTCGAATTCATAATCTTCAGACTCTCACAAGACACTTCTGGACGAAATTCTCGACCTTGTAAAAGGGGTCACTACAAACTTTGATATGAATGAGGTAAAAATTACCTGGTACAAGCTGATAGGCTGCGTCTCTACAGCAGCTGATTGTTCTGCCAGTGCCCCGGGGGCCTGGCACCTTTCGAGAATGCCTCCGACCTGGATGAAGTTATGAGAATTAAGAACACGAGATTCATCGAGATTTTACCTGCTGGATCTTGTTCCTCGCTTCGGCGAGATTCTCAGCCTTAAACCATATGTCGACATTCTGATCTCCTTGGGCACATTGTCCATGCACATCATCGACAACGTGGGTGCTGTGTTGGATGCCTGCAGCCACGAAGTTCTCGTGGTACACGTTATCGACAACGAGAGTGCTGTGTTGGATGCCTGCAGTCACGAGGTTCTTGTGCAGCCTCAGAGAGATCTCGCTGGCGCTGATGTTTTCTTTGTTCGCCATGCTGCGAACTTCAGCTTGATGCTTGGCAACGTAAATCTCGCTGTCGACTGCTTCTAAAGCAGAGCCAGCAATGAGAGTGGGCAGCACGCTGAGCTCGTTGAGGTTGAGCACTCTCCCTCTATTACAAATAGTTAATCTATTGGTGTATGATCGAAAGCTGTGATTGTCTTACCCTGTTTTCTTAGCCAATCCTTGGTAGAAATCACGCGCCCTCTGCGTAAATGATCAATAACGCATCTGACGCGGCAGCATAAAGAAAATGATCTCACCTTGTAGTTTTGGCTCAGAGTAGGCTCGCACGCAATCACATACTGTGTTGACATTAAACTCTAGCGCAAGATGTGAAATGCTCGACATACCAAAGTGATGCCAGCTCTTCCCATGCTCGCCGCGACACGGAGCGGGTCAATTTCTAATTTGGCATTAGTCATTGATCCATTACGACTGAAGAACAAAAATATGATTTACGAAGTGGAGACCCTTCAGGGAAGCCGTCGCCGTCCTCTCCGATTCCATGTGGAGGTGAATCAGTAATCATCACCACAACCTTTACCGCTCCGTCCCTCCAGTCAGCCCTGTTGGCTGCGTCCAAAGCATCGCTTTGACAATCAGGATCATCTCCACCGCCTTCGGCTGTTACGCTAGCTAAATTAGATGTAACACTTTCTACGTCGGACGTGAAAGGGTATTCCTGGAGGATGAAGCTTTGCTCTTGAGGAGGATGGTCGCGGAAGGCAATAAGACCAAATCTGAGGTCTTGCTGAGCGAGTTTCCCCCCAGATAAAAGAGTGTTGCAAATCTGTGTGATCCCGTTACGCGCAGCGTCGATATACGGCTGTTGAGTCTCTGTAGCATCTTGGAGGAACATGATATCCCTGAGTCGACTGCGATCAGCGCCATGCAGCTTTCACCCAACAAAGCAATTCTCACAGTGGCGCTCTGGTGCCATGCACCTCATCGGAAGTAGGATTGGACTGGTAGGCCATTATATAAAGTGCAGTAGATGGATTCAAGCAAGAAATGTGAACAAGCTGGACTGTTCAGTGAGTCTCAAGAACCTTTAAATACGCAGGAAATATACATATGACAAAACATGTCCAACCACTGACCCCAAAGAACTCGATCTAATGCCAAAAAAACCTTTAGATACCATCGACACTCTGAATAGTGAAAATAAAACTAGTCACGGCCTTCTTGGACACTGTGTTGGGCAGGTGTGCTTCCCTGCGGCGTGGGATTTCCATTGAGAAATTGGGGTTATGGAGAATGAGCGGTCACTTGGAGCCTAATGGATTAAACACGAGGCTATTGTGGGTGGAGCCGCTGGAGGTCATTAAAGATGAAGCGAGTCGACTTGGAGTTGGCGTGTAAAGTGAGACATTCTTGAATCAGCTTCTCTGGGCTAGATGATGATCTCTCCGCGATACTAGCCGGACTCGACGACAAGACTGGCAACGTCGCCTTAGGAGAATTTGATTGTTGGAGTATCTGGTTGATGATGCGCACCTCCAGATGAAGTCGGTAGACAAGAACATTCTATCTTTCTATCAGATATTTCTCTTTGAGAAGTTGGATGATCATCCGGGTAAGGACAAGCTACCTCTGGATTGATTCCAGGAAATAGCACATGAAGATCGATTCAACGACGATCAACTCTCACGAAGCACCTCCATAGCGGCTTGCTCGTAATCGCGATTAACTGTATTCCAATACATCCCAGAGATCGAGAAGATAATGATAATGGATGATGCGTTCGGAAAGTTCGTATTCATCAAAATCCCCCCACGGTCGAGTATTTTACGTCGACAGATAGTCGTTAATATCGGTTCCATTTTACAGGTCCTGGGCCTCACGTCTTGAGTCATGTTGAAGTGCCTTCTTGAGATCGATCCTGGAGCTATTACGCAGGGACCACTAAGTTAAAGTTTGGACCAAGGACGCATAAAGAGAACGAATATCATACATCATGTGAACCGCTAAGTATCTGCCGAAAGCGAAGTCTTCACGCGCCAAACACGCCGTAACTTATCGATTGCTCCATTGGTAACAAGTGTTGAGACCTAGCTGGAAGGGAAAACCTGAAGACGAATTGAGAAAGTGCAGAGGAGTAAAGTTATTATCGTACCAGAGATGCGATCTTTAAGGTCGCAGATAACTGAAATGAAAAACGAGATCGGAGGTCGAGACCGAACGATAAATATGTGCGCGCGAGGGTGCAGGCATGCATTATTAGTAGGTGGCATTAGTATTTTGAGTGTCAAGTGACAGCTGCATGGTCTGGATGAAGAGATCGAGGTCCGTTTGACATCGCACGATATCTAGCACAGAAGGTACAAATAAACTTCTGTAAGACTTTGAACAATTGAGGATGCTGGTTCGCCGCTAGGTGGCAATTTACTATCGTAGAAAGAGTGGTCGTTGCGTCTCTAGTCGAGAACAACCAGGATTAGTAATCTGCCTACCATTCCTGAGGCGGGCCGGCGCCGTCCCGACAATTGGAAATAGCAATCGGCTGCTACGCTGGGCGTAACGCACTTGGATAATGTGCGGTACTAGATCAAGTTCGTCTTCAACAATTGATACGCTGAGAATGACGAAGGCATGTAACAAACGTGTCAGGAGAGCAAACACCGATGGCGGCGGCTACAGACGAAAATTACCTCAGGCTAAACTTGACCTGGTAGGTCCAGGAATTGAAGCACAATTATTTAGCCCCACTCAATTATTTCGTTTTGCAAGTGATATATACAAGTGACAGACAGTGAGAAATAAAATGAGTTCTAATTGAGGTCGATCATTTTATTTTATTTCTGAAGTACAGTGGCCAGTCACGGTGCACGCTGAGATTAGAATTAGAATGTGCCGAGGCGACACATTGAGCAATGCAACCTGAAGCTTGAAGTCTCGAAGTCCAACGCCAACAGTCATGGATGATGGATTCGAGTGGACCCCACTGAGAACATATACCCATGTTCCCCACGGCAATCTACACTCACTAAAAAATAAAATGGAATTGAGTGGGGCTATTATGTAAAAGGCTCAGACTCTTTTTGGGGTCTTTTTGGCTTCAGGTGGTTGTTGGCGGAAATGACTTCCATGGCTGAAGATTACTCCGCGCTTAGCGGAAAGCATTCATGCAAGGACTCCGAGTCATCAAGCGAACTCCTTTTCCTCACACATAACCCTGACTCATTTACCTTGTTCGCCAGAATGCAATGATACCATCACGTGGCAAAGTCTACTGTTTCCTGCTGCTTGTTCGAAAAATTTCAGTTCCCTTAGGAATTGATTGGTACGAGCAATATTTGATTACTGTTCAATTTGCGTGTACACCCCGCCGTACCTTTAATTATCACGCCATGTTATTGCAGTGATGCATCTCAATTGTGTATCGGATAATAGGCTGAGAGCGAGGTACTATAAGGTGGGGTTGGGCATGTGCGGTTTATCAGATGCACATTCACTTATGTCTTATTCCAGCCCACACTACATCATGATGCCGGAAGCTCTCACCGGGATTACCAACTATGCTGCTTGTGTTGCCATAGTCGTAGCGGTGCTTGTTGTATCATACAAGAAATTCTCGCTAGTGCACAGGAAGGGCATCCAGCTTCCACCTGGACCTCCCGCCCGTTGGTTCTGGAGAAACACTTTGCCTACTGTGAAGTGAGTTTTGGCAGTGTCATACAAGATATCACGGCTTGATGTAGATCGTCCACTCAGCATTGCCTGTACGCTGACCGACTTGGTTCGAGAGTATGGGCCGGTTGTGTCGTTCCGACAAGGTAGCAAAGTGATAATCGTCATCGGCAGCATGGAGGTAATCTGCCTATATCTTGAGCTCCCTCTAAAATAACTCATTTACTAGGCAGCCGAAGACATCATGGAGAAAGAAGGTGCATCACTGGTAGATCGACCTCGGTCCATTGCCGCAGGTGAAATGCTCTCGAATGGAATGAGCCTCACCATGGCTGGTGCCAGGGAATGCTTCAGGTGCCTCCGAAAAGCAGTACATCCTCATTTACAGCCAAAGGCGGCAGAAGCATACCAAGATATGCTGCACGAGAATGCAATGGATTTTATATTGGATGTGCTGAATGACCCAACAAACCATGAAAAGCACACACAGCGGTACATCATTACCAAGCCCTTTTGTGAACCTTTCATCGATATGGCACCTCAAGGTTTGCATCATCAATCATTCTTCGAGTGACTTATGGGAAGTCTGCGCCCACTGCCATCGCCGATCCCGAATTTGTCTGTCTCTGCAGAGTCATTGACAATTACCAGTCTGTAATTCGCCCAGGAGCTTATCTTGTCGATTGGATTCCCCTTTTGCACTACTTGCCTGGTTACGGAAAACAAATTTACAAGTGGCATAATGAGGAGCTTGAGCTATTTAGGTATCATCTAAGGTGCATCAAGAGTGAAATGGTGAGGGGCTCTCTTGTTTTGATAAATGTGTATCACTTATATCTCATACGCAGGATCAAAACAAAGCTGGCCCCTCTTTGATGAAGGCATTATTGGAGAACACCGAAGAACACCAACTCTCTATGGATGAGATGGCGTATCTCGCTGGAACACTATTTGGGGCGGGATTTGATACGGCAAGCGATGCAACTTATTGTTCTCCACAGACTAACTCCTGGTTCAGATTGCTATTGCAATTACCACTATTGTTATGGCTATGGTGTGCCACCCACTCGCCCAGGCAAAGGTACACAAAGAGCTCGATATGGTCATTGGGTTAGACAGAGGTAATGCCAAACCAAGATCTTGATTTTTTAGTTAATTTCTCATTGTAGCGCCAACATTTAATGACTCAAGCTTGCTCCCTCAATTGCACGCGTTCATATTGGAAGCTTTGAGATGGAGACCTGTCATTCAGATAGGTAAATTCGAATTTCGGCACGCTCCTGCGTGATGCTGATGTGCTCCAGGATTTGCCCACCGTGCAACCAAGGACATTTTGTGGGTCAGTGTCTTACTTTGTTCTAACCCACGTTCTCATTCTAGTCTATGTGCAATCAGCAAGGATACTGTATTCCTAAAGGTGCAACAGTCTACGGCTGCCATTGGTATGGTGTTGCTTCATGATGTACATTGTTTCATTAAGCGCATGTTTTCAGGGCTCTTTCTCGCGATCCTATCACCTTCCCAGATCCTGAAATATTCAATCCACAGCGTTGGTTTGATTTGGAAGGCCGCCTTATGGACAATAATGCGAGGTTCATCACGTATGGCTTTGGTAGATGGTAAGTCGTGCTGACTTCGATTTTCTGACACCGCTCAACTAATTTTTATTTGACATTAAAAGTGTATGTCCTGGCCTGCACGTCACAAACCACGTGTTGTACATTATCACCGCACTTCTCATGTGGTCTTTCCGCATTGCTCAATGACCTGATGCACCGATAAACACGTACGCTTTCAGTGACCGCGTCACTCCCCATGCAGAGCCGTTTGAAATCAACGTCATTCCCTGGGTAGAGGTCGCGAAGCTGAAAGCGGCCATGGCAGAATGATGTGCGGATTAGAGTGTTTTGCTAAGCATGATATTGAGCTCCTCACCCTCGACAAAACATTGTTCAATGACCTGACGTATCGATCAACACACATACCTTTAATGACACGTCGGGTCGAGGACAATGATAACGGATAGGTATATTATTTGCAGTAGTACTGTTTGTTACAAGTAACATCGGTCACGTGGCCCCCCTATCATTTTCCCTTCATCCTCGCCCTCACCATCTACCGGCTCGTCCTCCTTTACCGACTTTCCATTGATCGGATCCTTGGGACCGTTCCCGTCCCTTGCATCGCCCGCCTCTATGCACGTGCACGCACGTTCCTCCCCTGATTCGACCACCAATGTGGTCCCGCACCTATGACTTGGTCTGACTCGTGCCACCAATGTGGCTTTCCTCTTTCTGTTTCTTCTGACTGCAGATTCCCGCACGTTGTATTCTTACCGTTGGTTCGTTCCAACGTTTCTCGGTCTCATTCCACATTCGACCACCCATCACTAATCTGGCTATGTTGCCAACGCACCTATACCATTCTCGTTTCCCCTTTACCCTTACCTACTGTGCAGTAGCCTTGCCCTTAACCCTCTCCACTTAGTATAAGTAGTCGGTCACCCTGTACTGGATTCCCTAACTTGAATCTACTCAATCTTCCCTGGAACATACTTCCCTCTGAACGCCCCTTTGGCTTCAGTCTCTAGTATCTTTTCTTAGTTGCTCATCGCGACTAAGTCTACCTCGATCGACCTCATCGTTTGGACAAGATAGTCCTTACCTTGAGCGACTTCTAAGACATCCGTCTCTGAAGTCATGTGACACGCGCGTACTGTGATCACTGCCGACTCGCCGTCGCCAGTATCACTTGCTATACCGGATCCTTCCGGTTACATCACGAACATTAGCGGACGACGCCCCTCTTAGGGCTCCGCCTAACAGATCTATTTGAGTGCGTAACACTGTTTGTCATCTACTATTCTATTAGAGTTCGGCCCTGCCGACTTTCACCTTGCTCCATGACATGCGGTTTTTTTCAGCAGCTTGTTTGTGAGGCGAGTAAACACCATATAAACTCATTTGATGCAGTGAGCACCATGAGTAAACTACATTGAATGTCAGAGGGTGTACAACTTCAAGGCTAGGCCAGCATGGCATGACTGATACGAAGTTTTAACATTTGAACACGACCTTGCAGAGCAAGGCGATAAAACTCTTGAATTGTGGTGAGTGTCAACACCATTTCTGGCAGAGTAAAACCCAACCAAGGAATTCTTCTGATACTATATTTGTGCTTCCTACGAGGACACTTGCTGGTTAAGGTTTCTTTGCGGAAGGATATTCCCTACAGAGGTCGATAGAATCAAGACAATAGACCGGAAAGTCATCACTCCAAGAGGCACGCTATGATGAACACCCATATATTATAGAGAACGAGGAGGTCTGTCATGGCAGACCCATTGCTTGAATGGTAGTATACCTTAGCAAAAGCCAGCTAGGTTACGAGTGAGTCGTCATTGTCGAGCGTGCAATTACCCTCGACTGCCTATGTTGCTCTCGTTCGAAGGCTGCTATGTCGCTATACAATCGAAAATCTCAGGAAGTACCTCTCTTGGAGATTGGGGAGATTGGTGGATGCAGAGGCCCTACACGATCCAATGGCCAGATGATATACATCAACTTGGAGTCTAAAAGAGCAAGGGGGACCTGTGGCGAAGCATTAACGCAGGTGAATTAAGAAGCATGGCGACTCACTGGGCCAAATTTATTGTTATCAAGAGTCCGGAAGGGTTCGTCACCTAATGCAACGTCAAGACTTGTTCGAGTGAAAACAATGCGTCTCACCCTCCACCCAAACATGACCTTCGGGGATGAAAACTTCGGCATCAGGATATGGAGGTAGGGTTTTGACAATATCCCCTGCCACAGCTGCGGCATTCGAGATTGCTTTTCCGGCCACTGGTGATAGTACTAACGGCAAGATGTCGAATATTTTACGTCGACAGATAGTCGTTGATATTGGTTCCATTTTACAGGCCCTGGGTCTCACGTCTTGAGTTATGTTCAAGTGCCTTCTTGAGACCGATCCTGGAGCTATTACACAGAGATCATGAAGTTAAATTTTGCACCAAGGATGCATAAAGAGAATGAATATCATACCTCATGTGAACCTTAAGTATCTGCTGAAAGCGAAGTCCCAGATGGCAGTTCTATTATGTTCTGACTCGTTTGAACGTCATCACGCACCAAACACGCCGTTATCGATTGCTCCATTGGTCGAGACCTAGCTGGAAGGGAAAACTTGAAGACAAATTGAGAAAGTGCAGAGGAGTAAAGTTATTATCGTACCAGAGATGCGACCTTCGAGGTCGTAGATAACTGAAATAAAAAATGAGATCGGAGGTCGAGACCGAACGATAAATATGTGCGCGCGAAGGTGCAGGCATGCATTATTTAGTAGGTAGCACTAGTATTTTGAGTGTCAAGTGACAGCTACATGGTCTGGATGAAGAGATGTCCGTTTGACATCGCGCAATATCTAGTACAGAAGGTACAAATAAACTTCTGTGAGATTTTGAACAATTGAGGATGCTGGTTCGCCACTCTCCTTCGCCGCTAGGCAATTCACTAGAAAGATTGGACATTCAACAAGTTGGGTCCCTACTAGTCGAGAACAACCAGGATTAGTAATCTGCTACCGGCTCCCTGCAGGTACATACACGTGCCCAGTCACAACCTCATCACACAGGGTTTTAACTTACACCTGAGACACAATAGGAAAAGTTTGGTTGGCAGATACTATCCGGGAGAAACATTGAGCACATATTGCTACTAGGGGTCGGCCTTGCCCACCGAATACCAGCCCTCTTACATAAATTTCTCTTATGTGTCGCTCGTTCGCCATCCGCACATTAGTTGTTTTTTGTAACGTCTCATGACTCTCATTGTTTCATATGAGTATGCTGACCATATCATGCATTGAGATTGCTTTTCAGCTACTGGTGATACTAGCGCTTCTTCGGCATGCACTTACTAAATTTGCTACCGAGAAATGTAGCACACACCTTCTATAATTATCTTTGACTGGCAGCGGATATTATTAAGTCAGTCAAAATGGGGACCAAGAAAATACAATTATCTTCGTAATGGCAGTGTTTCTACAAAGAAAAGGTCCTATCAACAAATACTGATTCGGACTTAGAAGTACAACTTTTCTGCTCACGTAGCGTCTATTAAACAAGGTCAGTACGAGCATAATGGGAGAAGATCAATTCGGTAATCACATCAGTTGTCGGACTCAGGAGTTCTCTGTGGATTCATGCACAGACTCCGGACTGCCTTGAGTCACTTCATCTGAACTACCGGCGGCAAGCACTTGCTTGCTACCCTCTGCACAAGCATCTTTGGACCGGTAATGTTCGAGAGCATAACTCTCCATGTCGGTGAACTGTTCGTCCGCAACAGCGAATGACATCTCGTCACGTTGATATGCGACGACATCAAAGTCTACACGGTCTTGAAGCTCCTCCTTACTGCAGTCAACAAGAGCTTGAACTGATGTGTCGAGAGGTTCTGAAGTGGCACTAACATATGTATCAGCCTCACACTCAAGAACCATGTAAAGGAACTTTGTGTGTCGCTCAGACGCCTCGATTCGCCAAGCCGTTGCCATGGCACTCAGGCGTCTCCACTCGCGATCAGCTTCCTTCGTGAGAACGGCTTGAGCCATGGCCTCATTGGACAGGTGTTTCAAGCCAGAACGTAATTGATCCTTGCCCTGACATGCTTGCCCTCAATAAGCAACGTTGGGATACATATGTGATAACATACACTCTGAATCGTATCGGTGTTCCCTGGGGTAATGTAACTTTCAGCGAAACGGAGGGCCCACATAGTGGGACCATCCCTGTCGTAGGGCTTGAATTTTCTTCTTGCACGGTCCACATAGTGTGACAGATAATGGACTATGGGGGGAAGGGAACCAGATGCATGCATATCATCTGACGTGACAGAGCTTGGAGGAGGAGTGAGGTGGGACATGCCTACGTTATGCGATGGTGAGCCCTAGAGTAAAAGCGAGGTGGCTGAGTTTCAAAGGTCTCGAACAGTGTGCCAAGACCTTCATATATACGTAGGATGTAACAGTATGGACGAAAGAGGTCATCGATTCTTTCGGTAGTCATCGAATACATCCTAGTGTGAGCCTTGATCAAGGTAAACATTTGAACAACGAAATTTAGTAATGTTGCCCATATCAGGCGACGCTTTGTTTCATTTCGAAATAATCTCACGATCCTGAAGATCAAACATGTTACAAAGAAAGCACATTCTACAACGCTACAAATTGTCTGTACTATCTCTTCAGATATAAAACATCGTCTCCTTCAAATTTGGATGGACTCCTTGACCCCATGCTTGAAGAGCAGCGTCATAAACACGTTGCTTGGCCGCCTCCCTTTCGTCTGCCGCCATGGCCTTTCTTTTACCCTTACTCTCTCCTTTCCGACTCGAGGAGCCAGGCACAGAAAGCTGCTCTGAGTTTAGGAATCCATCAAGGTAACACCGCGCCCGCTCGCATGCCAGGTCAGCATAATATGCGAGGGGTACAAGGCTCACCGCCTTGGTGGCGCGGGCATATAAGTAACTCGCGGTGTGTGTGCCCTGCTGTATAACATCAGCACTAAAACCACTCTCGTCGTAGATAACTGTGTAGTGAGTAGGTCGCGCGTGGCCCTTGATCCCATCATGAGCTTGGAGATAAAAGTCGAAATCATAACTGGTAGAGACAAGAATATGAGCTGACTTCCATTTCCTAGGTCTATAAAGACTTACACGGCAGTGATGCGTCTATCGACAACTGTTCCAGGGCGCGTGTTTCCGTTTCGGCTCTGGTTCTTCTGGTCTTTTGGCCTGAAGCGGGCGTGGTGCCGTTTCCCACAAATGATAATACTCAGGTGGGGCCGGTACTCAACAAGATCCTTGGTTTCTTTGTGGATGGCCTTGAAGGCATCCAGAATCTTGTCCTTCTCAGAGCCTCGCTCGAGCACTGTGTCGAATTGACCCTAGGTTGTGGCTGAGAATCCCACTCAAAAGTATAAGGTGGAGGGATTATTGACTTACCTCTGAGACGCCATCTCTGTAGACGATTATCCTCTCTGGGAGGAAACCACTCTTCTTCTTGTACGCTCTCAGTCGCTCTAGCATCATATCCGTCAAGTCGTCTATCATCTGTGGGCGTCAATCAGCCATACGTCGGTAAGAAAATGATTTGTTAGAGCAATATACCTCTTTCTTTGACTTCTGGCACCTCAAACTTGCAGGGCATTGCGTGAAAGAGTCATCAATAGTGGCAATGACTGCAGCGATGGATGGAGTGCCTGGCTTGCTGCCAGGTCCAGGGTGGGTCACATCCATGCCTACGAGCATCGTGCTCTTCGTAGTGAGCCAGCGCGTGCTTTCGACGTCGAGAGTATGATTGATGCCCCCGAGTTTCTGGTTGAGCTTCAGGGCAACGTTAGCATAGTACTGCTGTGATCCCTTGTTTTTCAGGACTTTGTTCAGGACAATCGTGACAGAATGTATCCCGAGCTCGACATCACAGATGCGTTTGACACCAGGGTATAACTTCGTATCACGGAAAGGTAGGAGGACCAGTAAAAACATTGGGTTGTCCCTGACGAGGTTTTGGATCGTGCGCTTGGTTTCCATTATACCCTTCGACCGATCCTTGTCCTGAAATTGTCGGGGCAATTGGGCCGTTCTGGCAACAGTCGGGTCTTGGTTTGCAAACGTCATCCCTGACCTCTTACAACCTTCTCTGAACCCTGTCCACACTTTGGACACGTCTTCATCACTGGGACCGGGATACCCATCAGACAAGACCACAACTGCCCATTTGGTAACGGAAGCTCCAGTGTGGAATTTCACATTCGTGAGGTTCCAACTCCCTTTTGCTGGCTGCACGGAAGGGGAACCGGAATGGTATTGTAGACGTTTGGGCGGAGGGAGCTCTCGTCCAGGAACGTCGGTCATCGTCTTGCTGATCGATATGCCGAACTCATCTAGAATGCTCGCCTTGGGTTCCGTCAAAGCAAGCGAGGGTAATCCTTGGTTGATTATCTCGTCAAAGTTGGCAGCTGGTGACTTGCATGCGTGATTCAACATGTTCGTGGTCTCTCTATCGTTGAGAAGACCTCTGAATGGCTGTGATTCAATCACACACAGCTCCAGTGGGACATAGTTCGACCTTGTTGCTGTCCCGAGGTCAGCAACCGGGAGATCCGGACGTTTCAGTAATATATCGTGCACTAATGCTTCACAATCAGCTCGATGAACAGAGGCTGGCAACTAAATGACGACAATACCATTCTGAAAATGCTTGGCAACTGAGACTTGGCGTCCGTCCTTCACAAATGTTGTTTTCTCTGCAGACAGCGGCGTGATTCGTAACAACGTGCGGCGCTTGGTGTAACCGAGATACGTGGTGGTCACTTTGACATTCTGAGCAAACCGCTGCAGAGTTGCGCCCTTGGAAAGACGCAAAGATTCTTCATATGCTAAATCCAATCGTGCGTGCTTGTAGAACGGCGTCATACATACATCAACATTGATCATCAGCTCTCCGAAAACGGGCCTTGCGGACAAGAAAAAGCCTCTGAATGCCTCCAAGCCAGTAAGCCCAGGCGAGAGCTCATTTGCCTTGAAGCCCGGGAACCCGAAGTAGCGACTGTTTCCGACTCGAATTGCAGTCGACGATGCATGTTGCTGAAGAACAATGTTGTATGCAGATATGAGCGGGGAAATGTCGTAGTTATCATTGATATCGACGTCGCAGTGCAAATATCTGGACAACAAGATTAAGGCAGTGGGTCGCATCTCTTGGCTCGGTACTTACTGCTTGAGTTTGCTGATATCCCATTTGCGGAGTAATTCAAAAGAGACAATATATTCTGGCAAGTTTGGACCAGGCGTCTGTCCTTCCTCGAAGAACCTTACAGAAATCTGCGTGGGCTGGGGCAGTTCCTTGGCAGATACCAACGTCTCTCTCCCATCAAACGCCACGGAGGACTTGACACTTTGCCAAGCCTGGTTATTACTCTGCTCAAGTAACAGCAGGAGACGACGCTGAACGTCTTTGGCGTTCCTGGTTGGTTCGACTTTGACACGATACGTATAAATAAGTGACTTGGTGATCTTCACTGTGAAGAAGTTGGCAACCAGCGTGACCGGCTCTCCGAGGGTACCGAACCCTGGACGGATAGGACAGTCATACCGAATGCCAACCTCACCTCGCATTTTCTCTAGTGCTTGCTCATGAGAGTGGAGTAACTCGTCGGCTTTACCTCCTTGAGAGGTCTGCTGCGGACTAGCCGGCAGTCCAGAGGTGCTTCGTGCAGGACCTACAGCAGGATCCCGTTGCCCAACAGGACCCCGCTGGGCTCCTCCACGACGACGGGTGTCTCTGTTCTGAGCTCGGTTTGTAAGATTGAAATTGGTGTTGGTATTCATAGTAAAGGAGGTAATGAGAATTAGGAAGAGTCGAACTTGAGGGAATAATGAACTGCTTATTACTCAGCAAAGAACTTTGTTGTTCACACGCACAGACCAAGCTTTAGATCAACATACCTCGCTTGCTGCTTGTCGTAGAGCTGTGATTCGTGATGATTGAATATTGAGTATGGGTAGAAGAGAGCGTGTTAGATATCTTCACGTGTCAAATCTTCTCTTGTTGGCGTCACTTTGATCCAAAATATGACGCGACCGGTGGGGACGTTACACACACATGAGCTTCACGAAGCGTGCCAGAGAGAACTCACAGAGTAGCCCAAAACCCGAACATCCCTTTTCCTTTACTCAACAAGTTTCATTTCACTCGAAAACATTAGTCAAAGTCCATGTAAAGAAACGAGCGCATAGCACACCTTGGCGTAAACGGGAATATCAGGGGAACCTCCCAGTTAGACTTATATTTTATGACTTGCTCAGCAGCAGCAAGCTCTGCTTCGCACTGAAGCGGATGCTCCATGCCCTTGATGTGGATTCACCGGCACCATTCACCGTAAGCAAATGCCAAGAGCTGTTGAGACAAGTCCTAACGTTCGACCCTAGTGAAAATCAGACAGGCGCCTTCGCACGGAAATCGACGGATTTGTAAATCTCAAGTAGTTAGTAAACTCATATCGATGGAGATCCAAGTTGTACAAACACATGTCGAACAATCTGTGTACGATTTGAGCAATACGTACTCAATGCTGCGCGAAATCCAACTTCAACTTTTCAACGGGTCCCCTTTCCAGAAAACATCAAGTTCTCCGCGCAAAAGACCATTACACCAAGAGCTGCATTCCAGAGAATGGGTGCCAACTTTTCCGGTGGAGTTGTCAACACGTGGCGTGGATCCAGGGAAAGTAGCGCAAGGGAAAGGAGGTGCACAAGGAGAGATGGATCCGAGTGCGTGGGTGATAGTCACGGCGGCGAATATTGATTATGAGAGGAGTTAAACACAAGTGCGGGGCGGGGGAACGAGAGTTGAACTGAGTGTGAGCGCGCCACACGTCTTCCATACTTCATGACTGACGCAAAGTGGAAGGACGACGAAAGTAAGAGCAACAGGTAACTTCGTAGGGAACTTCTCGCGTCACACCAGTTGGCTGATGTGTTTCTGTTTGTCGTGATTGAGACCCTTGTGCACCTGCTGCAGGTTGACTTGATTGCGTTGCACTGTTGGCCTGGTTGGTGTTCGTAGTATGTATTCCTTTCCTAGCTGTAGCCGCTTCCGCACTAGTCTGAGGGACAATGACAAAGGCATGTCTCTGCAGTGTATTTTAATTGAACGAAATTGGAGGGACGATGAGTCACTCACAACTTCATCTTGAGCAAGAGGGACATCGACGGTGCGCGTGGAACGTCGTCCGGAAAACAACTTGAAGTTGAAATTCCAGTGTCGGGACTGTCGTTCAAGTGGTTGGGATGCATTTGCAGGTCGTGTGCCGAAATGTATGGAAGTGAGCAAATGGCGCCAACGAACAAGGGACGATGGGCTTGCGGGAGGAGCTGCACGACGAGACGTGTGGTCTGATTCGTTGCCAAAGAAATCATTGCCCTGTATCTTGGCGTCAGGCGAGAAAGGTCAAGAACAAGAAAGTGCACTGACATATCTTGCCAGTCCTGTTCTTTTGGGCTGCTAATTAGACGCAAGATGGGTATCAAAGGGTTGATGAGACATGA